CAATGTTAACCCTCATTTCACAAAGAAGAATACTGTACTGAATTATAAAATCCAGGTTCTGAATGTTTACAATTTGTAGAGTCCTGTTGAAATAACATTTCTATTGCGGAGTCCCTCTTAAAGAGGACAATTCAAAATTGAATGGATGGAACATAATATTCGTAGCCAATTCCAGTTTAGGCCCCAGGTATGCACTTCCCTAGTCCATTGCAGCTCTCTCTCTCTTCCTCTCTTTCTGCCTTATCAATTTGTAATTTTCTATTTTGAATACAACCGCCAAGACTGTTGAAACGGTTAATACTGGGTGCGTATAGAAAGTTAGGATCAGGGCATCGAGCGGCATGAACGCGATGCGTCGAAAACTTGTTGGAACCCCCTCGTGAACTCTGGTGCCCGCCTTGTGCTTCCTTTGCTTCCACCATAACTCCCTCCCTCGATTTGTATTCCTCCCTTCCATTTTCTCCCGGCGCCTGTCGCCCGTCCAAGTCTGCTGTCAGTTACGAGTCTGCGTTTGCGCGAGGCGGATGATTGCAGGAGTTTCGCGACTGCCACTAGAACCTGGGTGAACAATGCAGGACAGCCGTTGTTCCCCAATCCATCTTCCCTCTCGTCATAACGGCCAGTGTTCACCGTGTATTTTGATTTGCTGTAATAGTAGGGGTTTCAAAGAGAATACGGAAAATTGTTTTCTCTAATCAAAAAGATTTCAAACAACATGCACGTCGATTTATTAACTAGATGTCCGTGATCATCTTCATCTCAAAATACATACGAAATTTAATCTCGAAGTCCTAGTCCCATTTTTGGCGGATTAATTGAAAGCTGACATTTATTATTATTATAACATTGCCGGTCCCTCAGGCTAAAAGAACCATTTGTGCAAAAACCATTTGAGGTACAATGCAGTTTTTATAATTTTGTCGCGTTGTTTCAATTTTCAGAGAGATGTCAGCAATAAAAAGCTGTATCAGCCATTGACGAATTAGACAAGATCGGATACCCATGCCCATGGGCTCGATTGGTGGCTGAACACCCAAAAGAAAAAAGGAGAATAAAAAAAGAGAGAAAAGGTTGAGCAATTGATTGTGTTGTCCGTTGGGGGATTCGAAGGACAAGTATTGGATTGTATTGTTGACGTGATTAGGACAGCCAATGCTTAGGAAACGCCGTGTCGAAACTAGGTTACTGGCGGCGAGTTTCACAACTGCTCATGCGGCGGCGCACGATGTGTGCGTCGACCTTAAAGAGCCAAGTGCTGACTATATAATAGTACAGTACAGTACTAATAACTGTCGCTCTACTGTTCTGTGCTGTGAAATACATTAAAATACTCCGAGCGGTTCTGTCTCTTCTTTTTTTTTCTTCCTCCCTCGTCGTCCTCCGATTTGAGGAGGGATCCTGACGACGAAGTGAAATAAAAAAAGTGATTGGATTGCGTCAGATGCACGTGGATTCAGGGACGGAATGTACATGCATAAATGAGGATTCATCTTTTCTTCTCTCATTTGTGCAGAAAAAAATGCCTTCGGTGGTGCCGAGATGGACGAGTCCGTTTCGGACTACTTGTTATGGCGACGAAACTGTGCGTCAGTTGCTGCTGCAAGAACGCATCATTGGCCAGCACCACGTGTTCCACGGCGGACTGCGTCTAGTCAAGGTTAGCCTAGGTCTAATCCTTCTTTCTAGTGCGGGAATAATGTGCATCGTATCAAGTAGAGTTCCTTCAATGAACATTCAGAATTGAACTCATTCATGTCCGCATACATTCGCAGGAAGTGGCATCGTTGGCATTGCCCAGACACCCAGCACCGGGCACCAGAGTACTCAACGTTGGCGGAGGGTTCGGCGGGTTCGCCTTCCACCTGGCCGACACTGAGCCCAACGTGAGTGTGGCCGTGTGTGACCCCAACGAGGCCGTGGCATCAGAGGCCAGACTCAGGCTCAGTCAGCATTTCCCTCACCTTAGCCGGAGGGTGAGCGAGAGCGAGGATGGTAGTCCTTTTCTTATTCTTCTTTCCCGCGACCCCCTTTTCTCTTGATACAATAACAACATCTTCCGTCTTGTGTGTGTGCCAAAATGAGGAAAACAGGGCATTGATCCCAAACTTTTGCTTTTTGCGTCCATAAGTCCGACCTTGAACCTCACACCCCAGGAGGAGAAGAAGAATGGGGGTGGGGTTTTGGGCTGGAGCAGGCGGGAGGGAGGGACGGATGGGGAGGGGCACCAAATCTTTGCCAAATTATTTTTCTTTGTTTTTTCTTCTTCTTCTTCCGGTCTTGCAGTGCACTACAAATACATCATGTGTTATCCATTATGGGTTGATTTTTCTCAGGTCAGCATCCAGTGCAGCGGTGTAGATGAGCTGGAAGAGCCTCCAGGGTCCTGGGACGCCATCGTGTGTTTCGAACTCAATTCATTTCACATGTCTGGCGGCGGCGGCAGTCGGAGGACGCTGCTGATGGACAAATTCAAGGTAGGTTTTTGATTCCGTGTGGTCTGTTTTACTGCAAGAGTATTCCGCTGAACTGTACTGCCGTGTCGTGGACTGTTCTTTCTTGTCGACTTTATTGTGAGACACATCAAAGTCGACATTTGACTGTGGGAGGGGGTTTGGATGTGGGAACATTGCTTGAACCTTGTAAACGCCGAAATGCGGAAAATAAAGCTTGCTGTTCAATTTAATTCAATGTGAAATGCACCACTCTTTTTTTCCTGTTGTAATAGATGCTAAAAATCATCAGAATCCAACAACAACAAAAAAGACCGTCACAAAGTACAGTAATCTTTTGAATGGAGGTACAGTGAAAGTGTGAATTTCAAATTTCAATGAGGCAAAAATCAATGGCACAAGAGTTAGAATGCTGAATTTACAAGTTGCACATGTCCAGAGGGGAATTGTATTCTGCGTTAAAAGGCCTTGAACAGCTATACCTTTATTTTTGTGGCCGAAAATAAAATACGGTATGTCTCACATAATTGGACTAATTCAATAATGTTTGACGACGACTGGTCAAATGCCGATTAATTGAGTCAGGTGTTTTTTTTAAATCTATCAGAGGTGGCTGTCGCCGGGAGGCAAGCTGGTCCTGGTGGACTACTGCTGGTCTTGCAGAGTGCTGGAGCGGCTGCAGGAGGCGGCATTGGCAGACGGTGGCGGCGGCAGTGCCGCGATGAGCAGAGACGACTATGCCACGTGCCTCAAGGCTGTGTTCTCCCACGTCTGGGTCGACGACCGGACTGACTCCCATTTGGGCCACATCAGGGATGACCTCGGCCGCCTCAAGCACTTTTTGCCGGGATCTGTGAGTTTTGGGCCCTTGATTTTGCACATGGGGTGTTGTTGCGTGTTTTCTCCTCAATGAGCTGATGGATATCCGGGCTGAGAAAAATTGAATGTTGAGTATTTTGCAGAGTGGTACGTGGAGATTAGGGCATAAATCAGGCAACAAACCAAACAGGAGAGTTCTTTCCATCAGCACGAGGGAAGTGAACGAAGATTCCAGCTTGAAGGATGGGATTTTTTGCAATTTATGGTTTTCTACCCTTGTTCTTCCGCAATGTTTGCACCTTATTCCAATGACATTTGATATCTCTGATGCGTCCTCGAAATGTTTGTTGTTGTTTGGGGTATGACAGTGACTCGACTGAGCTTGAACCGTCCTGTTGTATCCTCTCCGATTCTTCTTCCCTCACTAATTCCTGCAAATTTTGTTTATCCGGGAGATTTATGCGTGTAAAAAAAGCCTCGTGCGGAAGCGAGGACTGGAAATTACTCATCGTTTTTGTGGGAAAAACTTCTTGAAACAGGACAGCACCAGGAGCATTAAGGTTCCTGTTCGTTGGTTCCTAGTATAGTAAAAAGTCGATGACCCCATGAAGCCGCTGATCGTCACGGTTGTTTGCCCTCCTATTCCTTCCTGTCCGTCTGATGTATGCACTGCATTAGACATTCAGTAGTCTCACCTTCCCATTCATACTTTTCCTCTTCCTGCCAGCCTTCTACACAGGTGACACTGAAACTTGTTTTTCTCTCCTAACCTCTGCTATTTTCGCCTGTGTCACTGAAGATAGGTATTGTAGTCCAGTACTGTACAGTACTGAGACGGAGCCACCAGACGGAGAGATCGAAGGCATCGCCGGGCTTTGATTGCCCCTGAACTCCTGGTTCACGAGTAGAGTGTTGGGTTATTTTTTTCTCTGTTCCAATCTGCTTTTGAAGCCCACAATCAGTATAGTTTTCCATCATGCAAACATCCTCGCCGTTTGTGCCTCGTCTCAATTTTCCATCACCCGGGTCGTCGGGTTCTGGGTCTGCATCTGATGGTCCTTCCATCAAGCACCCAATGTCTCTCCTTCTCTTTATTTTTGCGTCAATTACCGTAGGTCTTTTGCCATGATGGTTCTTCCGCGGTTGCACGCTGTGTGATTCATTCCTCACTATTGGCAGGAAAAACTAACATTCGTTTGCCATGCCATTGCTCCGTGAACGGCGCTGTACATACTTCGCTAGCTAAGAGGATTAAATATTTAAATTTCCCCTGGAAAATTCGGGAAAGTTTTCCTGCCTACCTACTCCAAGCCATTTATATCATTATTTTTTTCTTTGTTCTGGGGAGCTTACTACACTCACTATACCGTTTTCCCGCCATGAAGTCATGTCCCCATCGTTGTCATCGAGGCAGGCCATATGTTTCTCATAACGTACAACTGGCAATAAAATACAGTACAGTACAGTATAGTGTATTCTTTCAAAAGTATCCCCACTCTACCCTGAGGTCCGAGTGTATAAGCCAAATTCAAGTTGAGTGAAAGGTAATTCCAATGATGACCCGTGCGAATATGAAAACTGTCACTATTTCTTCAAATTTTACAAATCTTGAGGCCATTTTGCATCATATTCATCAATTTGAGCTTGCTCGCAACATTTATTTTCTTGGAAGTTCCATTAATTTTTAAACATTGACGAAGTTCCGCAAGAAATGAAGCTCCTCCCTCCCATTGTCGCCATAAAAATGTTGGTTTACAACTGTTGAACTTTGCATTCCAAAAAATTAAAATTAAACGTAGATGGTCTTGAGAAAGATACCTTATTGAAAATGTGAAAACATTATTTCTCCTCAGAAGTATAAATAAGTGTCCATGCCTCGTATTCGTGCTCTACTTACGCGTCGGCAAAATTGCATAATATCAGGTTGATTTCTGAATCGCCGACACGTTCTAGAAGAATACAAATCTTCACCCCGCCATGGGTCGATCGTAGCGGGTGAATATTTATTCATTGCTCGCAACAATAAGTACCTCAGGACGTAACATTGTACTCCTACTTCTCACTCGAGTGCACGACGAGTTTATATCCGCACAGTACTGAAATGACTCTTATTTCTTCCCTTTGCAGCGGAGAGAAGAGCGACTGAAAGCGGACTGCGTGGCCCAGTGGAGAAATCTGGAAAAATTGCTGAGTGACGAGACTTTGACCTGGATTCTGGCCTGTGCAACGAGTCCCAGTGCTAGAAATTGACTCCGCGTCATCATGAGCCGAAAAATAAGGGTTCTTCAAGCAAAGAAACGAACAAATCCCTGCCTTGAGTTTTTGTTGTTGTAATGAGCTTTACGGGTCATGACTATGGGTGCAATCGTTGTTCCTGTTGACCTTTCTTTATTCTTGTCTCCTACTTGCTTTTATCTCTTTTTTTTCGTCTTGTTTGTTTGCTGATGAATCGCGGGTCAGCTGACAAGTGACTGTGATTTTTGCTGTGTGTGTGTGTCAACTGGGACATACGCAGAACCCTCAATTCCAACGCCTGACCCAAGTTTTTCTTCACTGGAAATTTGCTCAAGAAAAAATTGTGCTGCTCTGCGTGCGTACATGTGTCAAGAAGAATAAATAATGTACTGTGGATGCTCCTTCTGCTGACAAGACATTGAAGAGACATATTTAAAAAAAGGGCTCCTTGATGAATTTGTCCATAAAATTTAAATTCTGTCTGAACCTGTTGACCAGCAAGAAATAACTACAGTTGATCCTCTCCATATGTCAAACAACATGGACGCTCAATGTGTCATATAAGTTTAATTTTAGGAGACCTTTTGACTATTATTTTCTTGGCACAGGAAGTGGAAAAGTGTAGTAAAAAATGGGGAATTTGATGAGTTTTTAAAGAGAGTAAAAGACTAATTGGGCAAATGAATCCTTGTCTCCAAGTCCTGCATCCTTTCAACTCATTTAGAAGAGCCAGAAATATCACCCTCTAAAATTTTGTGTAATTCTTTGTTTCTCAAAACAAATATTCTTGGTTTGGTAACTCAAACCTCAAATTAAAAATCTCCCAGAATCAAATTTATTTTCCTGGTCCTCTGAAATTCAACTTAAGAGGGGTTTGCACTGTACTTGAATGTTCAAACATGAAATGGTATTGATGATCTTGGATTCAATACTGCACTGTACTGATGAAATCTTGTGAGGATTCCTGTTCAATGCCAAGCTGTTTTCCTCTGCCCTCCTCTTCTTGCCCAACATGCTCAATGGAAAAGGGGAAGAAAGAAAGAAAGTAAACGCTGCAATTTCACCCAAGTTTCCAGCTGTCTCAGAATTTCCTGTTCAGTAGGGAAATTCTGGTGTTTCCCAGGATTATGTATCTTTTGAGGTACATAAGAGAAGGAAGCAGTGTAAGGTAAGCAAGTAAACTATTGCATCAGTTTTGGCAATACTGTACCACAGAGGACCACGCAGCCGAACACTGCAAGAGTAAGAGTCACCTGTGCCCAGGGAAGACACTACGCTTGGGCCGGCAGCATCACGGTCAATTGAAACCATCACCGGAAATAGCGCTTTACTGAACTGTACTATGCAGTGAGTGAGGTATTGTACTGTTGAGTACAGTATGATGGAGTTAACTAGTTGGAGTGATCGGAAAGGAAGGACCAGGGGCGCGAGTCAGTGAAGGGAGAGAGAGCCGTTTTTCTATATTACCCTCCCTCTTATTCATCTATATTCCCCTCAACTGCCAGCAGAGAGGGTGCGTGTGTGTGTGTGTGCTCGCGTATAATGGCGGGGACCATTGCGCGTACCCCACACCTGGGCACTCTCAGTCTGCTGGTGGCTCGCGCGCCAGTCGGTTCCAACCGTTGGTCCGAGCATTCAGAAACTATTTCTCTGTTCATCATTCCCGATTTTCGTGCTGAACAGGCAGGCGCGCGCACCCTTCTGAAGTAATTTCTTCCCAGAGAAGAAAAAATTGCTTCTTTTCTTTATATGCAAATTTCAAACCAGCCGTCACTATATTACGAAAAGAGGCCTCACTAATTAAAAAAAAAATTTTGAACATGGACAGCTCAGCTGTACGGGTGAGGGAGAAAAACAGAGCTGAGAGAATCTCCTCACCCTGTCAATGCCGAGAACATTTGACAGACACACTATGTTTGAGTGATCGAGTCTAGGTTATGTGAGACCTTCTATACTCCTCGGCATCCTGTTTTCACCTCTTCTTTACGCATGTATTTGCCCATCTTCCGTGCAGCAGTGTCAATTTCGGTAATCCAACCATGTTGTGTATCAGGAAACACCCCCCCCACCACAGCAGCACAGCTGGTTGTGCGTTTTTGCTGAAGGCAGTTAAAGAATACAGTACGTATATGCCATTGGAAGCAGTTATAAGTGCATCGAAATACCGTATTGATTGCAATTGCAGCAGTCATTCCCTTGCATGGCATCTAGTGGAACTTTGTTGCTTGATCTCTCTCCAAGTATTACGGTGGTTTTATATTGACACAATCAGCGCTAGGCAATAAAGAATACTTTACTTTTTTTTTGCTGCTGCTGCTTGTTTTCAGGGTGACAAATTAAGACCTTAGGACGATGTGCATTTCTCCGCGTGCCGGCTGTATGGCTTAAAATCGCCGGCCATGATTGAGGGTATATAACACGAAGTGGTGGACGAGGTGGTGGAGTCAAATCAGTCGGTCGATCGGTCGGTGATGTTAGGCAAGTATCGGGGGACGATATCATTTCAATGAGATAAGCATACACAGCACTGTACTGTACAGCAGTACTGTGTAGGCCCAATAATAACACGGACACAGGCACACTCGTCGTCGTCGTGTTATTGTTGTTGTGCGGATAAGATGCCGTTGGTGAAGCGCCGAGTGCAGCCGGTGCACTTGTTCCGCGCATCGTCCTCGTCGGCGTCGACGTCGACGTCCGGTGCCAGTGCCGTGACGGACGACCGAGAATTCGTCGTCAACTCGGGGTTCTGTGGCCTCCTGCGACAGCTGGCCCACGTCACTCTGCTGGCCGACAGCATTTTCGCGGAGGTTTGTGACGAAGTGCGGAGTCTGGACGAGCGCAGCAAGAGTGTGGCTGACCGAATAGACGCCGTGCACTCTGTCGCCTACAGCCTCGACGCCAAGGCCGTCGTCGTCCGTGAGTCATTCGACCCATCTACAGTGTTTACATCATTTACATATACTGTACTGTACTCTACTGTACACTCACTCTACAACGAAATTCAAGGGACGGGAGTAAAAAGAAAAATAGATGATCCATATAGGACCTCGAAATGATTTTTTTATTGTACGCAGAGGAAATCGTTGTAGAGAGAGAGAGAGAGAGAGAGAGAGAGAGAGGGGCAGCAGAGCAGAGTGGGCTTCAAAGAGAAACAAACACAACTCTGCCCTCAATGAGGAATGAGTGCATTACACTACAGTACCAGTAAATAGAGNGAGAGAGAGAGAGAGAGAGAGAGAGAGAGAGAGAGAGAAATAGTCTGCCTGTACTACTGTACCTGCAAATCTTATCTTCCGAACGTCACGTGTGTACTGAACTGTCGTCACCTGTCCTGTTGATTGGACAGGTGTAGAGATGAGATCACCCGGGTCAGGCCTTTATGCAGGTCACTGTACAACGTAGACGAGGCGTCTGCATTTAATTATTATCTTCGACCAGCACACGTGTGAAAAATACTGTACTGTACAATGATGTTCAGTGTGTCAATAAAGTGCGGAAAACGAATCATCGCGTGCTGCATTCATGATTCTGTGAAGCATCAGTAATGAATTGATTTTCGAAAAGTGCTGTTACATATACAGTAGTACTTGTCCTACAGCAATGCATTTGGTTTTTTTTTCAAGTTTTCTTTTTCTTGTTTCTGTTATTGAAAAGCACACGTGAGTGCTGTAGAGCGTATTATTCAAACCAGTCGGGATTTCTGAACAGGGGTTGCCAGAAGAGAACTGAATCAGACTCCGAAACGAGTTTTGATAAACTTTCCCTGGTACAGTACATGCATTTACAGATCCTGTTATTTGAGCATGAGCTCTTTTGATGAAGCGCTCAACTGCGCAGTCGCGCCAATCGAAACCATTCAACTTTTCCTCCTCCTCCTACTACAGAACTAATATTGTATGTACTGTACCACTAAGGTATACATGACTGTATGCAGTTGCACCTTCCTCTCACAATGATGCACGTCCATAGACAAAGACTTGCAGTTGCAGCAGCATGAGCAGCAGCTGCTTCTTGGTGTTCGGCTGCCGAGTTCTATTCATTACGTGTTTCTTTCATTCATGCATTCATTTTCCTGCTTTCTTTCGTTTGCTCGCGAAAAGCACGAAATCAACACGGATGAAAGAGGGGGGGGGGCGACAAAAAATGACGACTTCAACCTCATTTTTAAAAAAAAAAAAAGAGCTGGGGGTGAGGAAATGAATGTCGGGTGGGAGCCAATTTATGCGTGGCGTTGCTTGGGCTGTTTGTCACGCCCTTTTCCTCGGGGGGCAAAAAAATGAAAAGAAAAAGAAGAAAAAAAAACTTGGCCGATAAACATTGGAGGAATAACAAAAATTAATGAATTAAAATAATCCGTTTGCGAGAACTGTACAGGTACCGTTCCAGTCTACGATTCACTTGAATTGAATATAAATCCGTGCGAATGGCATGTCTTGAATCTGGTTGAGGAAAAAAGGGACGGAAAACAAATGAGTGAAATAAATGTGCGTGCAATTTCTTCGCACGCCAAACGCGAGACTTTCGTAAACGAAATGCATCGCGTGCTTCGATGCAAGAAATGTTTTGCTTTTTGCCACCATTTTCTTGGCTGGAATACTGCATCTCTCTCTCTCTTTGTTTTCTTTTTTTTTCTTCTTTTTTTTTTAAAGCGTGAATGAATATTCGGGCTTTTCCAGCTCGACACGGAGAAATTAGGTGAAGCATCGAGGCGTTGCGAAGAAGGAGGTTTTTTTTTCGTTTTTCTTCTTGTGTCTTTGCACCCCTCCTCTCCGCCGAGATTTCTTCAGTGGATTTCACTCAACCAGAAGTTGCGAAACTTTTCCCTCTCCACACGACTGACTTTTCGATCCGAAATTTCCGGCGAATTGACCGTGTGGTGTTTTCGCGCAGTCGCCCTCTTTTTCGCCCAGATTAAAGTCACGCCACCTATTATGCCACGGGGGCTCAGTTGAAAGACTTGGAAGGGATTCAAGGGATGGTTCTAGTTTTACTGTATTTGTGCTACAGTAGTTCTGGGACATATAATTCAAGTTTACCTAAAGTAATCTGCCTTTTTGTGGTTACTTAATAGAATAGGCCGCAAAACGGATGAGCTGTTCCAGATTTACTATTTTTTTTGTGTGGAATGAGAAGCAACCGAACCTAACCAAATATGCCATAGTGCTTTAAAACACTGTACAATTACTGTACACTTGACAGAAGTGTACGCCCTGCTGCATTTTCGTCGATAGTCAGCCAATGGAAAAGAGATTTGTTGCTCAAAGGTTTTCCGAGTTCCCTTTTCTATCTTGAAAGAAAAACGCTGAATAATTAAATCGCCGAAATCCCACGCGTGATGCTCTGATTTCTGCTTTATACGCTTAATTTCCTTGTATTTTTATTTTATAGACTGGCAGCATCATCATCATCACCAACACACCACCACTTGGGGGTGATGAGCGATTGATGGGATCGCTCATTTGAAAATGGGAGCGAAACAAGTTTGCGTGCCACGCCCCGGTTTTTGTTGATGGATCGCGATAGAAATAATTTTCGACCTTTTTTCGAGAAATAAATTTTAAAAAATAAAAGAGAGATTTTCTTTTCCCTCCTGTTTGGCGCTTTTAAACAGCCACAGGATGTTTTTGTCTATACAGTATCTGCCCCGTATAAGAGATGAAGCAACTCTGTTCCTCCTGCTTCAGGAGGCTCGTCTATTTTTGCACTGCACACTCGACATCTCGTCGTTGTTCTCCCCGAGAGGAAAAATACTGTATTAAAAAAAGCATAGTGCGGGTCCTTTTATTGCCTTTTTCACCTTTCAACAGGGAGAGAGAATAAATGAGGGGAAAAAATTCATCCTCGAAAACCACGAGAAAAAGTATTTTGAGAGAGATTCCGCCGAAAGACAAAAAATAAGGTGTCGTGCCTATTTCCCACCCCCCTACTTTTTTGGAGGGAAAGAGGAATTCGAAATCAGCGCAGATTTCCAGCTGTCGAGCCTATCGATCAGCCGAAACCTCGTTAACGTCAGCGGAGATTATCGGCATTGCCCCGCGCTCGGTTTTGGCGGAACAAAACGTTGTTTGGGGGCCCTGTGTGACCCATGCATGCCTCTCACAGTATACTATACTGTGTTCCAATGCAGTACAATATACTGTAATACAGGGTGTTGCTGTGGATGAGAACAGCGCATGTGCGCCGCAGGGGTTGAAGAAATTCCGAGAATAGAAAGAAAAATGAGCCAAACGAATAAAGTCGAGAAAAGTGCTTGCTGTATTCCCTCATATTTTGGCCATTTCACAGTAATCCTACTGGCGGGAATAAAGTTGAGTCTAATGGAACATCAGAATGGACTATAGGGCTTATTTTTAATTTTCACCTGCTTCTGGAAATATCACAGCAGAGACTTCTTCGGTGACTTGGATGAAACTTCTCACTATAAATATACTGTATATAATTTTTTTTTTCCGCGCAGTTCTGGGAAACGTATTTTTCAACGCCCGGTAATTGTCCACGTCACGTTATCAGTAATTTCCTTCCTGGAAAGCTGCAACTCCCGTGTACTCGTTCTATTAAATTGTACAGTATTTGCTTTTATCTAGCAAAAGACAAAGAGGGGGAGAACAGTACAGTGAATTCAGGGAGGGAGGGGGGGATCACTAAAAGTAAATAAAATACACTATATATCCTTTAGAAACGTGTGATGATATGCGCAAGTACTTTTTTCCCGTATTGTGCATGTTGAAAATTTTTTCCTTCATATTTTTGGGGAAACCGTGTAGAAAATGCCACACTCTGGTGCTCACACTGACTGACTGACTGTCATCGATTATTTCTGGCCCTTATTTCGGGGGGGCTACTGATAATGGGATTGATTTTGCGGACACGTGTCACTTTTCATTCTGACATGGAGGGGTAGAAATCATGCTGGGAAATGTATCACTTTATTTTTCTCCAAAGAATAGCGATAAAATACTGCATACGCTTCTGTACGTGGTTTTCATGCGCGCACACACACACACACACGCACGAAATATGTTGCAGTTGCAGGATAAGGATGTTCGCTTCAGGAGAGATATTAAATACAGTACAGGATATATATATATATATATATATGTACGTCCCAGCAGAATAATTCCCAATGCTGTGATTCCCATCTCATCTCGATGGGTTTCACCTCAGCCAGGTGGGGGGTTGGTCATAAACATTGAGAAGAGGTGCAAATGCGAGAAATGCCTGAGCCGAGCTCACGTTGCGTACAGTACTGTACGGTGCTTGCGGTGTGCGGTAGTTCATTTCTGCTTCTCGTTGAAAAACACAAATTATAGTAATAATAAAATACTGTAATCCGAAAACAAATGTACAGTAAATGCAAAATGAAATTACTCCTCAATCCTCATCAAGCAGCTTGTCTGCCAGCGTGTTCTTGAAAATCGTGCCTCAAACCCTCCTCTTATTGTGAAAGTGTGGCATCTGGCCCAATATGAAGTTGCAGCTGATGGAAGAGTACAGTACTGTACATACAATATTTTGCACCCATCTGTCGGGGTCCGGCGGGGGGAGAAAAAAAAGGGGTGGGAAACGCTGTTTTTGTGATGAACGAGTGTGTTTTGCTCCTCGTCTCTTTCACTCGTGAAGAACAAGTACAGTAGAAGAAGAATCCCGGGACTCTCGTTGTGATGAGTGAAAAAGAGGAATTTCTTGCCCAATTTTTTTTTCTCCCGCGCACCCTCTTTTTTTCTTCTCTTTTCGGCGTGCTAAAAAAAAAGAGGGGGGGGGAGTTGGGGAGGAGGGGTGACGGGTTTCCTGCTGCTGCTGCTGCGGGTATTTCCAGCCAAGAATGTCGAAATTGCCGGCGGTTTGCGGGCAAAGGAGGGCGCGGGGGAAAAGGTGAAAGAAGGAAGGATGGGAAGAAGCAAAAACCCCCTCACACGACCTCAGCTGTTGTGCAAAAAGCTCAAGCACACCCTCGTGTCATGTCCCGGAAAAGCCCAACAAGTCCTTGGGTCTGAAAGAAAGAATTTCACGGCTCGAACAGCCCTCGGAAATACACACTGTACTGTACTACGTTAATAATGAAAGAGGTGGGGTTGTTGAGACGAGAAATAAAATGCCGCGATGTAACATAGAGAGGGACATTTTTTTTTTTTTTTGCAATACGAAATTGTGGTGCATGAAGTGAAGCATTTGAAATACGGATGAAACGGGGGAGGGGTTTCAATTTTTGAACACGACCGTTTTTTCAGCGTCTTATTTATTCCTGCTGAGAGTAAAGGATTGAAGGTGTGGATCTGCTAATTTCCTGGCTTATTACTGCTGTTGTGTGCTTCATCCATTGGATAATCACGAGTCTTATTGCGGCGTTTTTTCTTCCGTGTCGTTTTGGATTTTGGTTTCTCTGCACTCCGCGGTACATGAGTACAGTATTGTACCACGAATGACACGAAACTGGTTCTTTGAATGCCGCCCCGTTTTCATTGGTCATAATCTGCAAACCTCTTGCGAGGAGTGCGACCCGAAACAAGCCATTGTTTTTTTTTTTTACATCTCGATTTCTCGCCAATTTACCTCTTTTTAACTGAAGGGCAAGCTTCATACTCGGCAAGTTTAGCACGGCGAAACTCGCGAAGATCATCAAAGAATTGCAGTCTTTCATCATGGGAATGTGATTGTCGGGTTGGTGAAATTTCTTGGAAAAAGGAGGGAAAAAACAACAACAACAAAAGAACGACTTGATGATTTATTAGTCGAACTTTTTTTTTTTTTTTTTTTCATCACGTGTGTCCAACCTTCATTTCATCATGAATAAAGCTCGTCATTTCCTCCCGTGGAGAGCATGAGAGAGTGCCAACCCTTTCGAACAACGCGAGCGGAAGGAAATCGGACACGAAAGTGTTCTAAGAAAACGACGTGATTTCCCCCAAGAATGGAGTGATTTAGTGCAAAATCCTCAATGAATCGGAGAACCAAGCAGCCCCTTATTATGCGCACATTCGTGTGCCAAATATCCCATCGCCTCACGTGTGGGAGCCGAGCCGAGCCGAGCCCAGCCCAGCCGAGTCGAACCGGACCGAGCGAGAACCAGTTGAGCTCCGATTTCAAAAACTTCGCCCGTTCGTCCAAGCGAATATGAAGGCCAAATGCGAAGGAATAAAAATGAAATCAAACAATGATGAAATGAAATAAGGAAAAAGAAGAGGTTAGGAAAGAGGAAAAGTCGAGCGAGCAAAAGGCACAGACAGACAGGAAGCTCCTCGCTCGTGGTGGTGGCACATGGGCATTATCCACGCCCCAGGCGACTCTGGACCTGGACGCTCACACATACACACACACGAACGCGTCGCCCGTATAATAATTTGCGGGCTTTACCTGCTGTTGCGTTATTGTCCTGCTCCCCACTGCCACTGCACATCAAGCTAGCACGCCGCCAGTCAGAAAACAAAAAGAAAACTCCCAAGAGTCCCACAACTCCTTGCAACTACTGTATACCAACCCGCAAAAGAGGGGGGGGGGGGCGAACCACAACCACACGCACAACGCTTCCGGCGCAGGACGCGTTGATCGGGACGGGACCCCGTCTGGAACAAAACGCGGAAATCGAGGGACGCCCCTATGCTGTACACTGTACAGTATATGCAATATATAACAACGTGCGCGGATGCGGATGGACGCCGCGCCGGCGGTCATGGGATGGGATGGGATGGGGTGGGGTGGGGGGAGATGAATGAAAGAGGAGAAGAAGGAGGAGGAAGGTGGCGCTTTTAAAAGCCTCGAGAGTGCAGAGGGGACGCGGACAGCTGCTGCTGCTGGTGGTGGTGTGACAAAAACTCCGAATATAGGTAGGCCCGAAGGCGGAAAACGCCACGAGTCGTGTCTTCCGGTGGATTCGATTGTTGACGGCCCATCCGTTGACTTCCGGTCAAACAGGCCGGCCAGCTGCCTCTTTTCCGCCGAGAGCGAGACACACAATTGAGGTTGCGCTCTTGTTCTACGCTTTTCTGCTTGGTTGGGCGTCGTACTACAGATAGATACTCGTACTGTGTGCACGGTACTGTACATGCTAATTTCTTGGTCGCGTTTCTATTGTCCTTCCATATACAGTACTAGGTAATGTGCATGGATTACAGTACAGTATTTCTTTTGTTTTTCATGTCTGGAAGGATGAATGAATGAATTCATGCATTTGTCATCGACACTTGAATTCAACGCGTACTTCTGAACTCGCATATCAATCAATCAATCGCCCGCATAAACTATAGAACCTGAGGCTTTGGTATAAGCTTAAAAAAAACAAAAATCAGAACAAGCACAATCGTCCCAACATGTGCAAGAAAAAAAAAGTAAGTTATGAAACGTGAGAGAATAGCAGCAACGAAGAATGAATAAAAACCAAGCTCAATATCGTTTTTTCGAAAAAAAAAATCATTTTTGGGGGGTTGCTTACTTCTACCAAGCTGATGTCTTACCAAGAACCAAACAAGAGAGAGAGAGAGAGGAAAGGCTTGTTCCCTCCAGACTTTAAGCAAAAGACACGGGTCTCGGCTGTTAATGCTAATTATTCTGAGCGAGCATTTGGGAAATCGATTTGCCGTCTCTTTTCTTTTTTCTTTTTCTTTTTCTTTTTTGCCCTCGCATCCCGTATTCACGAATGTCATATTCCTACCTGTGTTCAAGACGTGTCTCACAAGCACACACACACGTTCGAACACACCACTCTCTTGCTGCATTATGGTGATGGTTGTAAGAAGAACCTTGACAAGTTTTTTCTTGCACACGCACGCGGGGGGATCTGTGACACGCATCGCCCACGTCATCCTTCCTGCTATCCCGAAGACACATACACACACACACACACACCCGATACGCAAACATGGCAATATGTAAATTATTCTACCCGTTTGCCGTGCCGTGCTGTGCGTGTGTGTGTGTGGCCAAAAGGGCGCATGCATTTGTCAGTCAAATATCCCAGCAGGAAGTCAGACACAACGATGTGGATGAGGATGAGAGAAGAACCCCTTTTACTTCTCTCTCTCTCTCTCTCTCATTCACTGCTGTGGTGAAAAAGGAAAAAAAAAAAGAAGCAGACACGAATGATAATGCAACAGCCGTTCGTGCTCGTGTTCGTGATGGCGCCGAACACAAAGATTATTATTCTTTTTTTTATTCTTTTTTTCTCCTGACATTTGAGGCTCCTTCCTTCTGTGGCGACCCGAGGTCAAACTGAGGAAAGAGGGAGAGACAGAGATGGAATTAACCTGCCGAGAGTCCAGCCATGAAAACCGGTCATGAAATTGTCAGGAACCTGATTTCTCTTTTTCCAAAGTCTGGCGGCCTCGTCTTGTTTTATTTATTTTTATTTTTTTCCTCCTTCTCGGTCGATTGCGTGACCTTCTTTCATTTTTTCGGGAGCTCGCTGAAATTGCCACCTTTGAGACAGACGAGGGGGAAAACACTCGGACAAGAGACAGACAGAGATAGAAAGACGAACGAGGAGAGATTCGGAGGTATTCCTGATGAAATATAGAAAAGCTGTGTGGACCAATGTTCCGTCCAAGGTTTTTCACCAAAAAAAAAAAAAAAACTGCTGTACAGTAGCACTGTAACTTGAAAGAGGCCAGCAGCTTGATGACCATAGTACCCAGGTAAAACCAAAACTCATTAACTGTACTCTTTTTATGCAGTGTCCACCTTTATTCCGCAAATAAACCTAACCCAATACAGTGTTTAACCACACCCGACCCCGAGAACCTCAAGTACAGTACCTCAACCCATGGTGTTCAAAATTCCTTAAAGAATCAGAGCAAATAAAGTCGTGCTAGTGTTGAATGAGTGACAATGGAATGCCTCCGATGTCAACACCATCAGAAATGTGCATCAGGCCTCGTGTGTTTCAATTTTACTAATCATCGTTATAATAAATTCCCATCTCCTCCTCCTCCTCGTGCTCGTTTGCGATGGTCGGTCACGTACTGTACTTGTATACCAACGACAACCAAAAGCATCACAGTGTAAGTGAGACGCGACAGTTTTTCATTCCCCAAACGATATGTAGGTCAAACCGCCGACCGCCTGGCGTGTGTACATGGTGCTGGTGCTGGTGGTGGTCTCCGCCAGGACATTTATCTCAATCATCATCATCATCATCACCACTGACTAGACTATTAATAGATTCGGTGGAGTATACGAAACAAGAAGACACGAACGAGGAGGAGGAGGAGTGGTGGGGAATTTTCGGCTGGTACTCCCCGGAACTCGCAGCGAGATTCCAGGGCGACGGCGTTTTGGTTGTTTGCCTGCTTGCTTGTTGGTTGGTTGGTCACGATTTTTCGATCCATAGTCCAGAGGTGAAAAGAAAGCTGTAAATCACGACCTCGGCTCCCCCCCCCTCTTTCATACATTTATTCTATTTTATTCATTTACTTATTTATTTTCTGCTGATGCAACGTTCCTTTGCTGGGGTGGATGGGTGGCTTATGCTGTGAGCCCAAGTGTACGAGTATTTTCCCTCGTCTACCTGAAAGGAGGAGGAGGAGGAGGAAGAAAAAGAAAAAGAGAGCATTTTTCCCGTCTTTGCTTTCCGGCCCCAACTTTGAACGGAAATTGTTCAAGAAGGCTGCTTGACCGTATTATTTTATTTTTTTTTCGGGCTGGGCTGAGAGGGATTTTTTTTCGGATACCCGTGGTTGGCTGGTTGGTTGGTGGAGAGGAAGGCAGAATTTGGTCCATGTTGTGAGAGACGTTGTTTTGAAGGAAACGGTATGCCAATACAGTATGGGGTATATTATGAAGGAGGATTTTCTCGAGTCGATCCCGTGATTTATTTGCGCAGACTCTGTGCCTCAGCCTGGTTCCCACAGCACCGACTGGCTCAACAGGGTTTTAAAGGTTGTTGCACTTTTTTCGCAACGTACGTGCCAACGACCCCGCCAACTCCCGGTTTATTTATTTTTTTATTTTTTTTTCGTCTTATTCTGAATATCCCTGGAAGGGGGGGAAAGAGGAAGGAGAAATTCCTTCCGGTCTTCGATCTTAACCGAGGTTTGATTTTTTATCTTCTTCTTTTTCTTTCTTTTTCCCCCTCACCGTCGTGTCTGCTAATAAGAACAATAGGAATCTCTCTCCGCCAGTCACATCCGTGTTCTGTTATTGTGTACTGCACGTTAAGCCATGTATGTACTGTACTGTGCTGTACTGTACTTCACAGCAGTGAATGTCATGGGATTAATTGTTGGATTGTGTTCGTCGAGGCAGCCTTTCGTTTCCTTCCCATTCCCTTCGTCGTCAATTTAAATTCTCTCCCACAGAATCCACGCTCAAGGAATTTACGACGCAATGCCAGACATTCCCAGGGGTTGTTACGAGGGATCTCGGCCTATTTGCGTGTAAATTGAGGACGCGGTACGTGTGGCTTTATGGAATCCAGTGCGCTTGTTTTTATTTTTCAATTTTTTTATTTATGCTGCTAGTGTTGTTTTATCTTCCTGCTTGATGGTAACGCGAATGAAAAATACTGTATTGTACAGGCGGACTCTCTACAAGGAACGGGCTTTGTTTTTTTTTGGTCCCTTGAATTTCGTTGTAGAGAGAGAAAGAGAGAGAGAGAGAGTCCACCTGGGAAAACCTGTGCTGGTCCGACTACAAAAGATTTCCCAGTCACTGACCTTTAAAGTTGGCAATGTTCCTGGAATGACTTCGAAAAAAAATAAATAAATGTTAAAGACTGCCATTGTAAGCTAACGCTAGTTTGAGTGAAATTCCTGTCAATTTGTTCATAGTATAAGAATCAAAACTTGAGGTATCGTATTTGCAGACTACATGTTAGGCCTCGGACTGCGTTAATCAATCTCTGGAGATTATCCGTGCGAAATTTTCGACATGGTTATTTATTACAGTATTATTATTATGATTATCAACTTGATGAATCCACGTCGAGTGAAGTACATGAATACTGTAGGTTTTTCCTTTTCTTCTTTTTTTTTTCGGTTCAGTCACGTCTTGTGTAGCAATGCCAAAGACGAGAGAAAAATTCCTCCGACTCTCGTTCCAGCGGCTTCCTGTTCTGAAAATCCCTGTTTATATTTTTGCACCTACTGCAAATTTCCACGTCGCTTCTTTCTCGTGGGCGTGGGTGGATGGAACAGGAACAGTAGGGGGAAAAAGATCCTTGGCGACATGCGAGAAAACACCGAGGAAGAAAGGACTAGTGTTTCTGGGCGGGGAGACGAAAGTCGACAGGTTCTGACGACTTAATTGACTCCGACGCCGGTGTTTATCTCTCGTGCAAATGCAGTATTTCTGTCTGAAACCTTTCATTACTTTTTTTGTGCTCTCATTTCTTCTCGTTGTCGTTCGATCACCGTTTCGACGTCGGCGTCGACTGAACTTTTTTCGCGGTAAACACGGATGAAGGAAGCGTGTCTACGTGAACGCGAATTAATACGAAGACAAGAATCAGTACAGTATACAGTATTATTATCATCATTCCGGGATTAAAATAAGCAAACTTGGCTCTTCGAAAGGACGCAATGAATTTTCTCTAGGTTCGAAATGCAAACAATAAGCAAGTTGAATAATGGATAACGCGAGATGTGCTCTTTGGAATTCCGGGCCAACTTTTTTTTTTTGCCTGTTTGGTAGATTCTTAATGATTCGTTCGAAGGTCAAAATCGAGGTCGGGTATTTTTGCTCCCCGTTTCTTTTCATCGACAGGACGGGGTCGACGAGAAAGTTCGATGCACGGAAGGATCGCGAAATAAGGGGTTTAGTCTCTCTGAACTCTCGCAATTTTTTTTCTTAAAGAAATACGTCTCTGAGCTCTTCTCGGAAAATGTACAGGACTTATTTTTAGACGGGAACTACTGCATATTGTAGAGTAGTAGGTAGTACAGTATTTGTAAAATGGGTTCCCCGTTGTCGTTTCCGGGGTCAGAGCGTATGATCGATTGACGTCGGTCTCTGAGCATTTGAATGAATGAATGATGAGGCTCTAGAAAAGTGAACTGCTTACGGTACAGTATTCCACCTTGGGCATTCGTGCGTGTCCCACGACGCATTATTCCGTGGTCATTGCGCTGGCCTTTTTAATTATCCCTGCTCGCATAATTGCGGCGTTGAGACGGGATGCGTTTTTTTGGCCGTGATTTATCTTGCTGTGATTACCGCTGTCGAGGCAGTTGAAAAGAAGAAACAGAAAAGGTATCCTATCCTTCTCCTCGTCCTGGTCGTGGTGGTTTATGGCCGCCGGTTATAATTGCTGGAGCTACCATATATTGCTTCCTTACCGAACTGCTTCATTCCTCCTTCTCTTATTGGGTCTTGCTGGCTTTCCGGTTTTTCTCTAGAAAATCCCACAGGAATTAAAAAGAAAAAAACACTCTAGTCATGTACCTTCTCTCGGACATTTTGGGAGGATCGTGCTTTTTTTTTCGTCGTGTGCAATTATACGATATAAAATACGATTACTGATCAAAACTGCCGAGGCATCGAGGGAGAATTGAAGCAAAGCAACGTTTTTCAGTTTGGAAGTCTCGCATTAAAAATTTAATTTCAAATGAAATGCGCCCTATGAAAGAAATTGTCCTTTTTTTTTGAAATCACGTCAATTGTATATTTTGCCTCGTTTCCTGCCATAGTTTCTCTTCAACGAATGGAGCTTTTTACATTCGCGGCACTGAAAAATGAATGGATTACAAATTTATTGCTAGTCATACTCCAAAACGGACTATTTTTTTTTCAAAGAGTTATTTCATCGGATGTGGATGGTTTAGGAAATCTTGCGAAAATTCCAAATGAAATGCGCCCCTTTTGAGAAGCGTACCCATAGTCCATTGTTTTCCGAGATGACGTGATTTTTTTTTCACTTCGATACGCTTTGGTTTTCTGTCATAATGTTGGAAAAGAGATCGTATCGAGCTTTCTTTTTTTTATGCAGGAAAATTAATGAGAATTTTTTGTCGGGAGCTAAAACACATTCTTTCGGTGGACGACGAGTAACAAAGGTTTGTTGCAATTCTGCTTCCGAAAATAAATTCTGTGCAGTACCTGAGAAGAACGACTGTTTAAAGTACCTTTCAGAGGACGTACAAAGGTAGCATATACAGTGCGACTAATTCATCATCGATTTTTTGTGTTTTGTTTTACCCGTCACCTCAAAATCCCCCTTTTCCCGCCTTCTTTCATAGTGCAGTACTGTAAAGTACCGTAATGCAATACCTTTGAAAATATCCCGTGGATGCAAGTGTAAATGTGTAAACGCCAAAATTGTGATTAAAAAAAGTATTCGACCCGATTTAAATGCCATCAGTTGCTTCCGTTCTTTTTTTTTTCCTAACTGTAGTAAGCTGGCGGAATCGTGTGTCAGCGAGTTTTTACCCGCAGGTGAAGCCAATTCCTTTTTTTAAAGAGAATCTCCAGAAGCTGGCGCTGAGTTTTAGGCTCACCAAGTCGGACGCATGTTATGGTGTTATGGAGAGTTTCCCTCGAACACGGGATAAGTGGAGGTTTCGTCGTCCCGGGTCCGGAACCCGAAACAAGTGGTTGTTGAGGAGTCGGCCGAGACAGGTTTAAAACACCCCCGAGGCGTCGCGTGATGCTGTCTAACGAACGAAATCCAATTACAGCCGGTCGTGCCGGAAATGATGGAAAACCGCTCATTTTCCGTCCTTCCTTCCTTCCGCGCCATTTTATTTTCATTTTTTACTTTTCTACAGTATTACGCACAAGCGCGTTTCCGTGCATTCAGTCCCTTTTTTTTCTTACTATGTGTGTGTGTGTGTGTGTGTGTGTGTTATTCCCCTTGCTTCTTGGAACCCTGCTAGTTTCGGGGTGTTGAGGAAATTCCTTTTCGTCGGAGTATAACAACGAGATAAACCGGGCAACAAGAAATGCTTAGAAAGGATCCCCCGGACCTCGTGTGTCCGACTGCAAAGAGTAACCCCCCGTGTTGGGGGGGATTTATCGCTTACTCGGTGTCATGGGTATGCTGAGGAAAATGCCCCAGGCACGAAAATCCCGCCAATGCGAGGCAGCATTTGACAAAATAATGAGAAGCTAAAATAAAAAATCATAACTCGAGAGACAAGAATCTCGATTAACGCATCCTATTCAAGTCACATTACGTTTCTACACGGAAGAAAAAAAAAATTGTAGAATTTACGTGGGAACATTTTTCTCCTTTCCGCGACTACAAAACCCCTGGAAATAAAACCCCGCTGCATAGCATCGTGTGATGGGTGGACTCTCTGTCTGTGTCTCTCTCTCTGCAACGAAGTTCGAGATACTGTACAATCAACAATTTGTTGTAGAGAACATTCCGTATACAACATGGGAAGAGAACCAAAACAACATTCGATATACTTTACAGAAAGAATCCAGCTGTATTTGTATTGGTGCGTCAGACATGCCAAAAGGGTACTGCATAAAATGGAAGATTTAATTGAATAGTTTTATGCTGTATTTAAAATGTGCAAATTCCGATGATTTTCGAGTACAGTACAAGCCCTGAAATAATGCATGCAGTATCCTTCTTCGAAGCGTTTTTTTCTTTTCTTCATTTTATTTTATTGAAAAGACGAAATATCCTTCACGCTTCGTTTTGTGGTGCTCAACTTTTGCAGGGCGCCAACGACTCTCGACTGTAGATGACGGTAAATCCGTTTGGGAAAATCGCGGGGAATCTCATTCCTCAGCCCCCACCGTTGGTAAGGCTGACAGGTTTTCGGTCTTATCACAGGCTCGATCGGAAAAGGGGCGCATATTTTCTCTCTCTCTCTTTCTCTCTCACGGCTCACACAGAAAACAGTGCAGTACAGTACTCTACATTTAAAAATAAAATGATTGAAAGAGGAAAAATTGGTTCCCCATTTGATCAATTGGTTGTACGATACACATGAGTTTATATTTTCCTTTTCTTTCTTTTTTTTCGTTTTGTGCAGCTGAAAGTTCGTTGGAAGAGTTCAGCAAACGGAAGCAGCACTTTAAGGGCAGCTGGCGGAAATTGGAAGCCGAAAGCAACGGGTCGAACCCGAGGCTGGACTTGTTCCGAGAGTCCACTCGCCCGATGGCCATCCAGGAGTTGTACGACGCCGCGGCGGGCTGTTTGCCAGCGTTGACGACGACGACGACGGCGGCGGCGGCGGCAAACAAGTCGTCAACGGGGAACCACGACGACGACGACGGCGACGACAATAACGGCTTGCGATGCACACCCGTCTTGTCCACGACGACGTCGTCGTCGTCGAGGCGACGTGCGTCCAGCGACGCAAGCGAGTTGCTGGACATTGAAACTCTCAAGGTGGGTCGAGTCAAGTGGTTCTTTTCTTTTTTCAGCCTGAAGATGAGAAAAAAAATTTTAAAATTCCTCCTCCCGCACTTGATTACGGATCGTGATTCAGCAGGTTCATTTTTCTTTTCATCCCCCCTCCCCTCAATCCTTGAAGAACTCATCATTTGAAAATGAAGCATCCCCGAAACATTTCTTTTTGGGGGGTGACGGAATAGCGCCGCTTTGGAATCCTCGAGACTGAAAATTAACCCCCGGAGTGTTTATGTATGTGTGTGTTTGTGTGTTTGTTTCATTTGTCGCGTTTAGAGTGCAGTACATAGGCGAAGCCAGCCAGACAGTTTTTTACTCGTGTGTCACAACCTAATAATCCCGCGTTTCGCTCGTACGCGTCCGTGTCATGGCCTATAGGTCACATTCTGTCGGGGTTAACTATAACTCTTTGACTCGTGTTACAAGGATGACGACGCATTTTCAACTTCGTTCATTGCTTGTGAATTCTTGAAGCCTCGATCGTGCAGTTGTACCTACCAAGTAGGTACACCACATTCAGAGTAAGCTTTTCGTACAGTACAGTACTGTAATTGTTTCACACACACACTATTTATTTGTTGAGAACTGCTCCGTGGTAGGAACAAGTCGGATCCTCCTTTTCTTGCGGAATGACTGCAAAATACAAATGAAAAAAACATACTGTATCAACTTCAGCTCTCAAAGCTTTTTTTTTTTGTCTCTCTATAAAAATTTGATCACTTATTGTTGGAAGATGAAATGTGAGGATGAAAGTCGAAAGCATGGACCATCAACTTTCAAGCAGCAAATTTCCTCGTTCGTCGCAGCGAAAAAGTCGATTTATTCGTGCAGTACTCCAAAGCGTTTTCAAATATTATATTTTATTTTATTTTGGAATGATGTCCAATTTCATAAGATCAATTCCATTTGTGGGACCAACACGGGCATCTGGAGAAGAATACTGTACTGTACAAAAAAAAGTGCCTTTTCCTTTCTAGTGAAAGTTGTGGACATTTTTAGTTTTTTACGGGAAGGCTGTGCCAATTCTGCGCGGCTTTCAAGAATATACAATACAAGTCACTTGTAAAAAAAAAAATTCTCGCTTGCTCTTTAGAGGCAGAGTACATTTCAAGATTGTCAAAGAAGTGAATTTCATTCTGCTTGTTCCGGTACATTATTCACAGTTTTTTTTTTTCTCATTTGTTACAGAATGTGCGTTTCCGAGATGAGCTAATTTAAGGTAAAAAAAAAAAAAACTTGATGATGCCTTAAACTCAAAACCGTTGCTCAACCTCAACAACTGTTTGTTGTTGTTGTTGTTGTACGACTATAGAAAGTTTTCACCAGGACAGTAATGTAGGAAATCTTTGCTGCTGCTCTTTTTCTGGATCGCGCCCAATTGTCCAGCCTGAATCTGACGCCGACTATTGTTCGATTTTGAAGCTTATCCGATTTTCTCGACCCGTGGGAGCGAAACTAAATATACTTTATATTTCGCCCTGCGAGGAAAATGGCAGAGGCTTTATTGATTTTAATTTTTTCTTTTCTTCTTCTGCTTCCCTCGGTGCTGGTTTTTTAATATTTTGCGCCAGCCGGAAAGACCGTGGGAAAAAACAGCGAAATAAGGAAGGCACGGTACGGTGGTCAGTTAGTCCTTCTTGATGGTGTTGGCAGGAAACGGTTTTCGCAATTCCCGAAGGTGTGTTTTCGCACTCACGGTTCGCTGAACGCGGAAACTGCCTAGCTGGGTCCTTGAACCGAATCACCAGTACAGTAATTAAAAAAAAATAAGAAGATTGATTTAAATTTGTTGTTTGCCAGCGGGTGTGCCTTGTGACTGCTGCTCAGCGTAAGAAATGCTATTTAACAACAACGACAACGAAAGATGTGTGCATTACAGTTGTATAAAGTATATACAGTACAGGGAACAAGGCGATGAATCGGGAATTTTCATCTAATTTCGTTCGATTTCAGGTTAATCTCAAGGTGATGCTTCGTTTGTGTACTGATGAGGATGCATTGGCGGCAAAAGAAAGAATAAACCATCGAACAGTACATTCTCTGCTTGTATATAAGGCAACAATAATTGTTACGATGCGTACTTTCTTAATCTCTGGTCGTATCGTCTCACATTTTGGAGTCTAGAAGAAAAACAACGCGGTTAGGGAGGGAGGGCATACTCCCCAGTCACAGCATCCTCCTCACCGGAGGGGGGAGCCATACACATCAGCGGAGGGAAGTTCTGTGGAGGCCTGGTACAGACCACGGTATGTATAGTATATGGCACGAAATGTGAGCAAAGTTTGTTGTGAGGCGTTGAAGCGTGGTGAAAAGAAAAAGAAAGTTGGTCTATAATGAATGCATCTAGAAAATATAGCAAGAACAATCTTTTACCATGCTTCAACCGCTCTTAATAAATTTAGCGCACAGTTTGTGCCATACATTGTGGTCTGCTGTATGGACAAGGCCTCCCGTGAAAATATATTTCCGCGGACTAATTAAACGCTGCTTTAAGAATCACTGCGGAATTGACTTTCCTCTGAATTCCGCGGAATGAACCACTGCGTTCAAGTGTTGACCGCGGAAAAGCCCCCACAGAACTTGACTTCGAGGATTCGGAATAGACCCGCCGGACGGCATCGCACGCTCTCGAAATGCAGTATGCCCCCTGCCAGTAGAGAAGGTATGCTCCGGGAGAACATTTTGCTGTGGTGTCTATACAACACCGTCTCCGCGTGATTGTGGGTTGATCTGCAGAAGCAAAACTGCTAATCATTCTTTCATATTTAATGCACATAGTGTATCATCTGTATCATTTGCACTTTTTGCGGAAGTAAACGAGAGAGGAGAAGCGAGTTTAACTTGCGATGAAGGAATATGTCATCGCGACCGGTTGGTTTTATGAGCCCTCGTTCTGGGCCAAAGATGCCCGAGTGTTTTTCTCGGTTTAAATTTTTCGTTCGGTCGGACGGAGGAGATAAAGAAGCGCAAATGGGGGCCGCGTGTGTTAAAAGGTTCGGCCTCGATTCTTCCCGACCCGAGCCCGTGTTTGCGTTACACATTTTACCACCAGTTTATCTTTCTTTTTTTCTTTTTTCATTCTCCCTTTATTTTTTTACAGTATTATTTTGCTTCTTTTTTCCTTCTCTCTCTCCCTCGATCTTCTTGGTGATTCTGTCGAGTCGGCGGAAGCCTTTCTTTCCTGTCGGTGGCTGAAACTGCTGCTGCAAACAAGTCGTCGGTATTTGTCTCTCTCTCTCTCTTTCGTTCTTCCCTCCTTCCTCTTTGCCTTGTTTCTTTTTTTTGGACAAAATTCTGTTGAGAGTTCAACTTGGGAGAGCTTTTGTTCAATATGATTTCACCCCGAAAGTGGAAAGACTTTTTTTTATCTTCCATGAAAAAGAAATGCTGAATTTCGTTCGAATACGAAAGCGATTTTCCCAGTTTTGGGGAAATTCCTCGAGTGGCCGAATAAGAAAAGCTGACTCGATTCGGGCTTTTCGCACGGTTTTCGCCCGAAATTGCTTTTTAATCGATCTCTCTTTTTCCCACCTCGGTTGCTGGTGGAAATCGTGAATGGATAACTTCTAAGGAGAGGGAAAAATAATAATAATAAAACAGGAGAAACACCAGCGCTGGTGAACAGCGTTACCGAACGAGGGAATTAAAAATGAGGCGATACAAAAATTTAAACTGCAGGATTGGCAAGTCTACCTATTGCGAGCCTTTTGTCGATCGGCGCCGGGCGAAGTTTCTTTTGTTTTCGGGCACTGAGTCGAGTTTAGGTCAATGGCGTGCCGAGATTTATTCTGGCTCTCTCAGTCGCCACCTGGCTTGTTGTTTTTTTTCTTTTCTTTAAATGTACTTTTTGTACATTTTTAATGCGAAGGGTTTCTTGAAAGTCCTATACACAACGTCCACTGCTGGGAGATTAAATTTGGTAACCAGGAGTATAGGAACCCGTTTTTGTTGCTCTTATTACGAATGCAATCAAAAATGATTTGAGACCGAAACTTCGGGAATAAGCGTAGGAAAAGTTCTTTCTTCATTTATTTATTTTTTTTCAAATGATCCCCGGACAAAGTGGCGTTTTTCTGCGGAAAGTCTTTTTTGTATTATGTTGTACCCTTTTTTTTTTTAAATCCTTGTCACGACGATTTCTCTTAGATACTGTGATAGCAAAATTTCCAGGTGAATATATTCGTATGATGTGAAAACTTTGTTCGTTAGTACAGTATATTTTTTACTGTAAGTATTTGTTTTTCACTGAAGGTCGTGAGAAAAATTAGTGCACCGTTCTGTCCATTTTCTGTGTGATGTTGTTCCAGCGCATAGGACATATTTGCAAACTGAATCGCTTCCAGATCCTGCTTCTGATGTTCGGATAGAAATTTTTTCTTTTATTTTTTTTGCAAAAACTGACAGACCATGCGTCCCCTCAACAACAACAACAGCAAAAAAATTAAGAAAATAAAAGCGTGTATCGCAATGCAAAATTCCTATTTGCGAGACTTTCGATGGTCCCCCTTCTCGAAAATCTCACCGGATTTCATCAGACCCAAGAATAAAATGAAATGAAATTGGCTGCGTGCGATGGGAATGTTCGAAAAGTTCCCTCCGACCCAAGGTGATATGAAAGTACTGTACTAAACAACTACTGTACTGTATAAAGCTATTCGAGATAGAATTTAACGAAAAAATTCCCGCCTGAAGGTTCATGGGCGACTGAACTTCACGGTCTTGGAGCACCTACAAAAAGGCCACTTTTTCCCTCCCCTCTGCATCTACTGTATCTATCTCTTTGAGAGTTTACGGCCAATGAACAGGTTGCAAGCGCCTGTGTTCGTTGATCTTGTTGTTTTTTTTGTTTTTCCCCCCCACTTTTTGTGAGTCCCTTCAGGGTTGTACGTGTGTGTGTGTGTGTGTATTGGTAAAGGCCTGCATGAAATGCCACGCGATCACAGAATCCCATTTTTTATTATTGCAGCACTCGGATGACGTGGGATTAATTGAAGGCCCAGTCAGAAAAGAGCTGCGCAACGCAAACCACTGGTTTTTTGACCGTCCGTATAGGGAAGGAAATAAAAAGAGCCCAACTCATGATTTCAGTCGTCGGCAGGAAATTGATGGTTCCTTTGGTTCCGCTTTCGTGTTCCCGCTGGACACGTGGGGACGAGAGGGGGGAATTGCGTGTTTAAAAAAAAAACAAACTTCGAAATCATTTTTATATATACTGTGCTATACAATATATATGATTAAATACTATGGGGGTTTCAGCTAGAAAGGAGGTTCAATCCTCTTGAAATACGCGTAAGAAATGTAATCCCGCATATTCATTTGAAGGAATTTTGGTTACACGAAGCATGAGTTGAATCAAAGTTTTCAAATGTCATCAACGATGTGCATCATTCAGCACTCAAACTTTTATTTCTGATCTGGGCCTTTTAGGAAAATCACTCAGCACAAGAATCCTCAGCTGCTGCACAGGGTACCAAAATGAAATTACGAATCAAGAATGACAAAATGAAAAAGTTAAGGACGGGGGATTTCAAAATTAATGAATCATTCTTGTCTCATTTCGTATCACGGTTATTCTCTCATTTCTTTCTAATTCAATTTCCCCTTGCTTTTCGTGTCCGCAGGGATACCGAGAATCCTTAGAGAAAAAAAGTTAAATTTAAAATGCATCCTGGAATGATGTTCATACGTTTTAGGAAATGTCATGATGGTGATAAATGACGCCCCTTTTCTTGTTCGCAACTTGAAATCAAACAATCACGCCAGTTCAAAGTCAATGATGAGTTATTTCAGAAATCTGTTCTGTACTTGCTGCAATTTTGTTCCGGGCGTCAAAACGTCTACCAATCACTCGAGTTGCAAAATTTCCCGCAATTTGAATCAATCTGGTACAGTAGTTGCTTTTCGGAATATGGATTTTTTTTTTCTCAACCAATCGCATTGGGTTAGAGATGTATGTTTTGATTTGTTTCAGGTATCTATCAAGCATTAATGCAAATTTCTTCTGTCGCCCCTCGCTTCTGTCAAATCCTCCCTCGCTGCTTTTGACGACGATTTCCTGGATTTTTGCATCTCGCACTTGAATATTTCAAACCTGCTCAAAAATCAATAAATAAATATTTTGTCCGGCATGTTGAATACAACGTTGGATATGCTGCCCTAATTGGCACTCGTTACGGGCTTATGGTCCGCTGTTTTCGCGTGCTGTTGTTGCTGCTACTGTTCTGTGCAAGTGTTGCTGTCCCTGTGTGTCCTCCTCCCCCCCACCAACCCCGGGGCGTGTCTGTCACGTAAACACGGGATTTTCGGACGGAATTCCTGCGTGGCTCGAGTTTTGCTGCCTTGTTTACACGCAGCCGAACAATGCGTGAAAAACCCCCCCCGGCTCAGGCGCCTGGTCCCTATATGTAATCGTCCCTTCATCATCTTGACCGCGGGGCGAGCGACCGTGTGACAAAAAATTGAATGAAATAATTCCATCCAAATCAACACTTTATTTTATTTTTTATTTTTTTTGCCTTGTCAGCCGGCGTGCTTCGACCAGTTGCCGGACTGGGAGCCGGGTCTCGACGACGTGCTGGACGGCGTCGGTGGCGGCCACCGGGTCGCCGTCAGTGGCGACGACGATGTGTCAGATTCCGGCCATTCCCTCGACTGTGTCGTATGCAAATTGCCGACGCCGCAGGACAGACTCAGGGTACTGGTGCACAAGTGCCCGCCTGACGACGTCTTCGTCGACATCAGTGGCACCGGCTTCGACAGGTTTGGAATTTATTATTATTCTTATTATTTTTATACATTACTACAGTACTGTACTGCTGTTGTTGTATTTGGGTGGCGTGGGAACAAGCAACGGAATGAGATTTGATAAGACCAACGACGACGACGACGACGTTAATCTGCTTCGAGACTCTCGGTTCCTTATCACAAAATTAAAAAATAGATAAAATGCTGTCTCGAGAGAGAGAGATTATCAGCCGGAATTAGGTTCCTTTTTTCTTTTTCTTGGGTGTGTGGTGTGCGTGACTCTTTTAAATGAATGAATGAATGAATGACTGACTGACTTGTTAAATCATTCAAAGAATGACGGAGTTTCGACGGTCGCTGATCCACTTTGACTACTGCAAGCGGAAGAAGAAGCGACGGCGGAGACGGAGAAACACGATTGCCGGCGACGAAGCCGTCGGAAGTGATGCCGACCAGCACCGAGTCGACGGAGGTCAAGCGAAGCTGAAAAGTCAGAAAACCAGGTCAACCAGGTGAGGAGGAGGAGATTCATTCAAAGTACTGTACTGTACTGATCTACAATTGTATTCAATGCCGCCCTGTATTTAAGTTTAAAAGAAAGGAAGGGCATCATCCGGCACATGCTGACTGCGAATGCAAATCAGTCGACGACGACTTTTTCGCGTGACGAATAAATGAATAAACTTCAAGATGAAATACCAACTCGTCGTTTCTTCACAGCTGCTGGCGGATGGGCCAGAAACGATTTTTTCATGTCTTCTGATTTCTTGCAAGTATAACACCTCGATGATTGTGAATAAAATTAATGTTCATCCAGGGATTTACTTATTAAATGCTGTAAAAGTGTTTACCTTTATGGTTTTGCAGCATTTGAATGACAGCATTGTCTTTTTCGTAATGAAAGTCATGAGCAAAATACAGAATCTAAATTTTAGAACTTGACGATTATCTTCCTAATTCAATTGCTCTATGTTTGAATGTGTTCCCTTTTTTCCTTTCTTTTTAATTTTTTGAAAAACTTGCTCCCGTATAAGATACACTCAACGTCAACATTCAACTAAATGTGAAAGATTGAGACGATTCATTCGCAAGAAGTCATAAATTTGTCTTTTTTTTAAATAAATAAATAAAAACATCGACTGCATCCTGCTTCGAAAAGAAGTGAATCCTTTGCCGAGGAACCTCTTCGCCGTTGGATATTAAAATCGAAAGTTATCTACATTTCTCGAAGACAGAAATGCCCGATAAATGCAAATTGGAGAAATCATGGGCAAATTTATTTCGTGAAAACCACCTTGCTGGTGGTCGTTCCAATGTATCCCGATGCCACATAATGTCATAATCATACTGTTCATGCATCATTGGAAATGCGATTGATTCGCTTCGAATGACGCTTATTTATGCGGTAATCCGGAAAATCCACGATACTGCCCCAGCAGTGCTTTAAAATAATAATAAATGACTGTTCATAGCAATAATACAATCGTTTAGTTCTCGTATCTGAAGAAATTGTGCAGTATTTTTTTGTTTTTACGTTTCATTGATGCGTTGCTGCTGTGCAGTACTTTTGCATGTCTTTATTGCTTCATTGTTTTGCAGAGACGGCACTTTATTGCGACGACAGGTACGATCAATCGGCGAAGTGGAGCTGACGAGGGATTCGGCCTCGGAACTTGGAGTCGCCGTGCTAGTCCACGAACACCCGCCTCAACCAGCAGTACCTCCATCGCCGCCGCCGCCATCGTCGACGTCTTTGTTGTTGTTGGAGAGCAAAGTCCGCCCTTCCGCCGCCGTCATCGGGGACGACGGCGCCCGAAGCAGTTCCGGCGCCTGGACTGGCTCGGGCTCGGCCGACAGCGACGTGAGTGCCCACACTTCGGTCGAGTCCGAGGCGGCGCCACCACCACCACCACCACCACCACCACTGCCACATCTGTCGCTGTCATCACACTCGACGCGGAAACCGCTCGACGACGTTCCGTTTATTGACGACGGCCACAACGACGACGACGACGCTGACGAGCAATCGTCCGTCTACTCCTGCGACACTGAGGGCTACTACACGTCGTTCCACGTGGACACTGGCATCAGTAAATCCGTCGCCGCTCCTCCTGCCGCCGTTTTTGGTCACGCCACCCATGCCACTAACTCCCGTGGCCCAAAGAAGGTTCGTTCATGCTGGCGTCTCTTTTGTCGGGGTCAGACAGAAAAGAAAGAGCAGCAACTGAAAGGAATACCACCCGTTCTAAAAGCAAATTGAAGAATGTTTCCGTAAAGGCAAACTCTATAATTTTCGATGAGTATAGAAATTTTAAGTTTTCATGTTTCCCATCGCGGTTGAATGATGGAGCTGACGTATCGTATTCAAATATTTAATCCCCCTGCGAAATTTCTATGCAGCAGTAAAATCATACAGTATTTTGTTTCTTTTCTGCGGTAAACTGTATGTATATCTTCCTACTTTATTTAATTTGTAACGTATACCGGTATTTGTTCCTGAACCTCGTCGTTCTCCTCCCCCATCAATTGTTTCTTTGTTCCCGCGTGTGATTAAATTTTCCTACTCGTGTTTGGCCGACAGGTGCCGCCTCCTCCCCCCAAGCGGACTTGCTCTCTGGAACGCCACTCGTCCACTCGGAGCGCCAATAATAATAATTCGAACCCCAAGAGCAACCGCGACAGTCTGGTGACCGTGATCGACGTGAGCATGAGCCCGACTGCGAGTCCCAACATGAAGATGAACATGAACATGAGCATGGACATGAATGCTGAGACCACCAGCAATAATGTCAACGACAGTGTGGAAAGCGGGCCACTCGAGCTGTCCGACTTGGACACCCCCGCCCGCGTGGACGACTTCAAGTCCAAGACCAGCATGACGGCTCACCGCATCCCGTCGCTGTGTGCCATCACTCCTACGCCTACACCTACACCGACGCCGCCACACAGCGACGACGACGATAGCAACAACAACAACAACAAGAGGGCGTCGACGACGACGTCGTCGTGGCTGGGAGACGGCTCTATCCCAGACCTGGTGCCCAAGCAGCCCGTGAACAATGTCTCCGACCCGTCTTCTTCCTCCTCTGCCGCATTCCTCCTGCTGTCATCTGCATCACGGACGCTTCCATTCCCCGCGACGGCGGCGGCGGCGAAACACATCGTGAAGGCGTCCGTGTCGCCGTCCAACTCGCTGGAACGGCGTCGCGGAGGAGCGCGGGTCACGTTGGGGGCCAATGGGGAAGTGGTGCAATCGACGGGAAGTCTGACGAGACCCGGCAACAGCAGCAGCAATGGCACCAGCATTGGGGTGTCTAATGCGGGGGGTTATTGCAATACCAGCAGTAAGGGGGTTACCATCGCTACTGCTGTTGGGGCTGTGAAGACGTCTCTGGAGTCGGCGTCGGCGTCGACGTCATCAACGTCGGTGTCGAGCAGTGACACGCTCAAAGACGACGACGGCAACACTCCAGACTTGTTGTTGGACAAGGAGACTGATAAAAGCCTGGGTTGCAAGGGTAGTGGGGGGAAGGTCTTTCGAATCGAGCCTGTCAAGTCTACGAGCATCAGGGCCATGCCGCTTTTCAGAGGTTGGTATGATGAAGGGCGGGTGTTTTATTTTCATTCTGGCTGCTGGATCATCTTATTACAACTGTAAAATAATTGCCAAGATCTTTTTCTGATGAGATGGAACAAAGACGACAAAACACAAAAGCGTACCCCAAGAAATGTTCTTCCTTGTTCTTTCTCACTATGCTTTTTCTGCTGTACGCTTCTGGCGCAAGAAAAGCATACAGCTGACACATATTCTCTGAATCTGAGTTTGCAGAGTCACATTTTTGTATTCAGTACCAAGAATTTGTTGTCATAGTGTGCTAATTTCCTGACAGAAATGTTCAAACTTTCCGAAAACCCTGTCTGGTTCTAACCGCAGCCATACCCTGCTCATTAATACAGGACGGCGAAAGCTGAATGAATAAAGTAAATCCAAGGTGATTGTAATTCAACTTTATTTCACCTGAATGCTAAGAATATGCCGATTGGGCATATTCTAGACAAAAACGGAGAAAATCTGAATTGAAATTAACAGTGGCCATCTCCTTAAGAGTTTTTGTTCGAGAGAACTACGGTACTCTTCTGTATACTGTAAAACCTTTGTGTGAAACAACAAATTCATGAAGCATCCTTGAACTCCATTGTCTCTTGGGATCACTTTTTGCATGCACTTGAATGTTTAAAAATACAATTTTTCAAAAGAAGAAGAAGAAGAATAAGAAGGAGAAATACGAGTGGTTCAAACCACACGTGTACGATGTTTTTTCCTTGCTTCAATTATATTGCTAAACTGAAACGCGTGTTATTTACATTGGTGTTTTGCGCAGGCGACATTCGCGACAGAGGAGCAGTAGCATCCGCCGCCCAGAAGCAGTTGCTGATGGACGCCCCTCTGAAGAGTCAAGTGGCGGCCAGCCTCAAGACCGACGGCTACGTGGTCCGCAGCCTGGTCAAGTCGCCGCCGCCGGGCGTCTACCAGAAGCTGGCCCGCGAACACGAGTCCAGGTCGACAGGGCTGGCGACGTCGAGTAGTCCCACGACTGCCTCCTCCACCAGCACCACCACCACGGTCGACCAATTTCGCACCCTGTCGCAGAGCATCGGCGTCCCGACAACCCTGTGTCCACTGAGAGGGTTCCCTCACCACCAGCAGCAACAGCAGCAGCAGAGGCACCACTTTTTGTCTTCAGCTGCACCTGGTGCATCGTCGTCCAAGTCCTTTCAGCCGACACAACCCCCGAGGCTATTTACAGACGCCGATTACGGCTTCGGCACCACCAATAATAATAATAACAATCGAAGCGTCGATAATGCCTGTACTGACGCCTCCAGCACCTTATTGACGCCGGAGTCGCCCAAGAACGACGTCTCCGATTCCTTCTTTGCGCCGCTGCATTCCTCGACGCCGACGTCGACGGCGACGGTTTTCGCCAAGTTGTCAACATCGACGACGACGGCAACGAATGACGGGAATGTGTCGAGTGCGACGACGAGTCCCGAGTCGACGCGAAGTTCGAGTCCGTGTTCCCTGGGTTCCACTGGCAGTTTCGACTTTGAATTCCGCGGCGGCGGCGGTCGGAGGAATTCTTGGGCGCATCCCGAGTTCGGGACACATGCGCAGCAGCAGCAGCAGCAGATGCAGATGCAGATGCAGATGCAGCATCGGTTTCCAGTTGGTAGTGGGCAATTGCAATCCGCAAGTCTGCCACGATTCGTCTCGGTGAGTCCTGATGACGATCCACCTCTTTTTCGTCGTCGTCGTCCTTTTTTTTTAAATTTTATTTCGAAACTTGGCGTCTAAAATTTATTTTTAAAATCCTGTAAAGTAAAACTTGTCTGTCTTTCTCTCTCCCTCATGCTCTTTTTCATTTTTATTTTGCTTTCGGCAGCCGAGTCAGCAGCAGCAGGCCAATAAGAGGATGAGTTGGGCGGCAGGAACCAAGGCCACGGTAGGAGGGAACAGCCCGGGAACCTCGCTGCAAGACTTCAAGAAACTACTCGCCAAACACGGGCCGAACATGAACCAGAAGGTCTCTGCTGTCGAACTTTTGAAGTACAAACCACCGAGGTATCGTATGAAATTGATCTTTTTCATTTGTTTGCCCATTCACTTTCTTATTTTTTCGCGTGTTGGACTATTGCATTGGTCAAGAACACTTTTGGACGGATTTTGGTCAAATTTTAGAAATGTAAGAATCGAAACAGCTGAAAATTGTGAAGTGTTTTACTTCTATTTTGGGGTTTTATTTTATTTATTTTTATCATGCTTCACCATTTTTCCTACAAAACCTTCGAATCCATCATCGTTTTGAATATCCAAATTGGGTAGAGTTTTTGTCCGTGTTACCAATAAAAATTTCCGCTACTGAAGGTAAAAGAAATATCCTGCATATAAACAGTATATTGACGAAAAAAATAAATGATTCATGCTCAAATTCTTGATTGTCGTGTGAAATTCATGACATTTGTAGGTGTGTGTTTGTCGTTTCATTTTGAATTGCGGCATTATTAAGCAGTTTTTGATGTAAAATTCGGCTCTGTGTGTCATTCTGAAAGCTGTGTTTCTAGTCAGCCGATCGTCGGGGACCCGAGGAACAAGCAGAGGCTCTTGTCCATCGCGTCTCGCATGGGATTGCGTTCAGCTTCCAAGTTTCGACCCCCGAAAACCGACGTGCTTTCCTGCACGATCCCCGAGGACGAATTCGAAGTATCTCCAAACAGTGAGTAACTTTTTAAAAATAAATACAATACTGTACTGTATATAGAACTATAATCATTTTCAAGAATGCAGTGTGACTGCTACTATTATTTCTTCTTCTCTTTCGCGTTGATTGAGTGTCTTCTTTATCATTCTTCCAAAAAAAAAGGTCCCATCAAACTCCAGGTCTCCTCAGAAAAGTTGCAACAGGCCTCGCACAGCGACGACACCCTGAACAACAACAACAACAACAGCAACAACAATTCTACCACAACAACTGATGAGCACTCAGTCACGTTGGACAGTTTGTTGGAGTCGTCTCTGGACGAGGACCTCGGCTCAGGGACAGCAGTCGACAGCAACAGCGGTGGTGGCAGCGGAAACTCGTCAGCCGTGTCGAGTCGGTCGTCCAGTGCCACCGACGATGTTGTCAACGGCAACTTTTCCAACATCAAGGACGACTCGGATGAGGAGAAGGTTTCATTCGAGACCCACTTGTAGCAGGGTAAACATAAAACATTGCTGATTTCGTTCTGCTTTGCTTCTGTTGTTGTTGTTGATGATGATTTTGCACGGGTCTATTAAATCGAGAGACGATGTTCTTGTGCAGCATGTGCGCGGGAACGAAATAATTTTGACAAGCACCTGTTTCCTTTCGGGGCGAAAGGTCAGTTTGACAACAGGTAGAGTTATGGTAGAACGAAAACGAAAAAATTGACGGAAGAAGCATGCAGATGATGGTTTTGCTGCCTTCGGGATCGTAGCTTTTCTTGATCGACGCGTTATCTTGCTGCATTGCAGAAATGAAATGTCGTCATCGTTCATTGTTGTTGATGATCCGACTGTGTTCCGACGATGATTAGAGAAATGCCTCCTTTTTTTATTGATGACCGTGTGTGTCTTCCCGCAGTCAATATCAATCGAGTCATTCATTCGCTCTCTGATGCCTTTTCCAAAAGATGCTTCCGTCGAATACGGTTTCTTTTTTTCTTTTTTTTTGGCTTGAAAATTGATCCGAGTTGTGAGTCAATGAATGGACGAAATGTTTTTGTGCTGGGTTATTTTTTGCAGCTCGGGAAACCTGTGCAGGACATTCGTCTTCAAGTGTTTGAAATGTGAGGATACATGCAGTTGTTGTCTTTTTTTGACTGAGCAAACTCGCCTTTCGTTTATTTCGAGACTTTACCCGATGTGCGAATTATTCAATAAGACGAGACATTCTGATTTCGGCCATGCAGACGGGGGCTAGTTCTGCAACAATCAACGAAGAAAATGCATAACTTTGGAAACGAAGAAGCTTGGATGAAGATTTGAGCTGCGTCATCTAGACAAAAGCGCATTGATTTATCTGCAGCGTAGAATCTATTTTAGCCCTAGATGTCACGCTCACCCGGAATACAGTGCAGTAGACGAAATTCTGAACCGTGTATTTCCGCTTGAGAGTACATTATATTATTGTGCTGCGTATCTCTAGCACTGACTTATCCACTCCTAATTGCCCAATTCAAAACCACATTCAGCAGTAAAATCAAGGCAAAGAACCAACCAAGTAAGATGACGCAAAAACGAGCAGGACGCTGTTCGCAATTTTATGTCGACAACATGCGCGAATTATAGAGTATACGTGGTAAAAATCAAAGAACATTCACAGTGGATTTCAGAGAATCGTATAAAATTTTGTGGACGATGGAGTTTTCAAGCTTCCCTGCTTAAATTTTGAGATTGTGAAAATGATCTAATGAATAAACAGCGTACATTCCCTAAAAAGGGAGTTGGAAACTTTTCAACAAGTCAAGACAAACTTTTACACTGTAATTAACGATTTTAATGATTTAGTTATTCAAATACAGTATCAATAAATTTATTTTTACTCTTTCGGCCCTACTTTTAGATTTAATTGAGAATATAAAGTGCAATTATTCTCAACAGCTTTCATGCAAAATTGCTTTAGATTTTTATTTATCTAAGGTTTTCTTCCAGTTTTTCTGATTCCTTTCTTTTTCTTTTATTGACGTGGCGAGGGGGGGGGGGGTTACTCTCATTTTACCCATTCTGCGGCCATTTGATCCTCAGACATTTTATTTTCTTCTGAATTTTGTCATTTCATATCGTTAGGACAATAACATAATATTTTTCGTTCGATTATATTGTACAAAGGCTGGGCTGTAAAAATCTCTGAAATTTCATCCGGAAGGAACGGAATGACGCATTTTTTGGCAGAGTGCTGATTGATAATCAACCAATAAGACTAAAATAAAGCATCAGGGCGTACCAATTAAATCAATTATAAAGTGCATTACCAATATATGAGAGCTATTTCAAACATGTTTGCCTCCTTTTTCGGCGCCTCGTCCAACAATATTTGCTGATGCTGACGTGGAACCAAACTCAAGATGCTTTTCTCAAATGCATGAGAACTTCTTGGCAATTCCTTCGTCCTTTTGTTGCTGCGGTCTTCTTCTTTCCTCTGTTGTCGTGAAAAGTAGGGGAAGAACCGCGACGAGGAAGTGATGGGGGTTGAAGAATGCGGGGTCCACGGAAGAGATGTGCACACCTTTTGTTGCGACGGAATGTCGCCACACCTTTTCCTTCAATTTTGCACACACACAAAAAAGGGGGGAATGGGGGGTTTGTGCCAAGTTCAAGGTCGGTGGTTGGCATATGCCGACCGGACGGACGAAAGAAACGAACGAAACCCTCGGTCATCCTCATTGAAAATTATTCTTTTTTTTTTTTTCAAACGTGAAACTTGCGCCTGACACACGCAAAGAAAAGAAAAAGGCAAAGACGGAAATGCCGCCTTCGACAGTTGGCCCAAGACGACTCTTATACGTGTGAAACTCTCTTGCAGTTGCAGCAGAACGAGCAGCAGTAAATTCTTAGAAAAGAGGCCCTACCAACAACAACACACAGGCAATAAATAGATCACCATAAAACCCCTTTTCGCAACCCGGCCCTTTTCATCGGGGTCTATTTTCTCTCACGATGAGGAGGAACAACGGTTGAACTCTGCTGTGCTGTAACTCCAATAAACACTCTTTCCATTATTGTACACTGTATATATGCATCAGTATAAATTTAGAAAAAAAAAACTTTTNTTTTTTTTTGGCTTGAAAATTGATCCGAGTTGTGAGTCAATGAATGGACGAAATGTTTTTGTGCTGGGTTATTTTTTGCAGCTCGGGAAACCTGTGCAGGACATTCGTCTTCAAGTGTTTGAAATGTGAGGATACATGCAGTTGTTGTCTTTTTTTGACTGAGCAAACTCGCCTTTCGTTTATTTCGAGACTTTACCCGATGTGCGAATTATTCAATAAGACGAGTCATTCTGATTTCGGCCAATTTGAAGCATAGCGGCCAAATCGGTCTTATGTTATGCAGACGGGGGCTAGTTCTGCAACAATCAACGAAGAAAATGCATAACTTATTCGATGAAGAAAGAAGCTTGGGTGGAAGATCTGAGCTGCGGCATCTAGACAAAAGCGAGTCAAGTTAAGTGCAGCGTATAATACATTTTAGACCTAGATGTCACGCTCATCCAGAGACAAAATTCTGAACGATGTATTTACTTACACTAGAGAGTACAGTACAGTATTGTGCTGCATATCTGTAGCACTTATCCACTTCTATTTGCCCAATTCAAAACCACATTCAGCAGTAAAATCAGGGCAAAGAACCAACCAAGTAAGATGACGCAAAAACAAGGAGGACGCTGTTGGCAATTTTATGTCGACAACATGCGCGAATTATAAGGTATACGTGGTAAAAATCGAAGAACATTCACGGTGGATTTTAGGGAATCGTATAAAATTTTGTGGACGATGGAGTTTTCAAGCTTCCCTGCTTAAATTTTGAGATTCTGAAAATGATCAAATAAATAAACAGCGTACATTCCCTAAAAAGAAAGTCGGAAACTTTTCAAAAAGTCAAGACAAACCTGTACACTGTAATTAGCGATTTTAATAACTTAGTTATTCAAATACAGTATCAATAAATTTATTTTTACTTTTTCTGTGAGATTTACTTTTAGATTTAATTGAGGATATACAGTGCAGTTATTTTCAACAGCTTTCATGCAAAATTACTTTGTATTTTTATTTATCTAAGGTTTTCTTCCAGTTTTTCTGATTCCTTTCTTTTTTTTTTATTTACGTGGCGAGGGTTACTCTCATTTCACCCATTCTGTGGCCATTCAATCCTCAGACATTTCATTTTCATTTTCTTTTGCATTTTGTCATTTCATATCGTTAGGACAATACTGTAACATAACATTTTTCGTTAGATTATATTGTACAAAGGCTGGACTGTAAAAATCTCTGAAATTTCATCCGGAAGGAACGGAATGACGCATTTTTTGGCAGAGTGCTGATTGATAATCAACCAAGAAGACTAAAATAAAGCATCAGGGCGTACCAATTAAATCAATTATAAAGTGCATTACCAATATATGAGAGCTATTTCAAACATGTTTGCCTCCTTTTTCGGCGCCTCGTCCAACAATTTTAGCTGCTGCTGACGTGGAACCAAACTCAAGATGCTTTTTTCAAATGCATGAGAACTTCTTGGCAATTCCTTCGTCCTTTTGTTGCTGCGGTCTTCTTCTTTCCTCTGTTGTCGTGAAAAGTAGGGGAAGAACCGCGACGAGGAAGTGATGGGGGTTGAAGAATGCGGGGTCCACGGAAGAGATGTGCACACCTTTTGTTGCGACGGAATGTCGCCACACCTTTTCCTTCAATTTTGCACACACACAAAAAAGGGGGGAATGGGGGGTTTGTGCCAAGTTCAAGGTCGGTGGTTGGCATATGCCGACCGGACGGACGAAAGAAACGAACGAAACCCTCGGTCATCCTCATTGAAAATTATTCTTTTTTTTTTTTTCAAACGTGAAACTTGCGCCTGACACACGCAAAGAAAAGAAAAAGGCAAAGACGGAAATGCCGCCTTCGACAGTTGGCCCAAGACGACTCTTATACGTGTGAAACTCTCTTGCAGTTGCAGCAGAACGAGCAGCAGTAAATTCTTAGAAAAGAGGCCCTACCAACAACAACACACAGGCAATAAATAGATCACCATAAAACCCCTTTTCGCAACCCGGCCCTTTTCATCGGGGTCTATTTTCTCTCACGATGAGGAGGAACAACGGTTGAACTCTGCTGTGCTGTAACTCCAATAAACACTCTTTCCATTATTGTACACTGTATATATGCATCAGTATAAATTTAGAAAAAAAAAACTTTTAAAAGCGAAAATCTATGCACACTCAAAAAAAAAAGGATCTACAAAAAAGCTCTGCTTATTGATACACATGCAGGGCTTATAAAATGAGTGAGAACGACAACAAAGAGGAAAAATCTGATGGAAATTGGAAAGCATTTTGTTGAAATTCCCAGGTTTTTTAGCTATACTGTATATATATATATATATATATAATATATATATAATATATATTATATATATGCCGTATGTATGTACGTATGTATATATATATATTTATATATTATTTTTTTAATTGGAACGTCGCGTGACCGGCGGCATTGCATTTCTCCCGACGGGTCCAAGGGAAAGAAAAGTTGCCCCTGTGACAAGGACCTTATGTGTGAATGAATCGCTTTGTGACCCCGCAACGAAAACCCGGCCCCTTATTCCGCAACCCACCGGCTATTTTACGTGTCGATGGGACCTCACTCTATATACTGTATGTACTACTTATTCGGCATTATCGTGGCCTAACCCCGAGATAATCAAGCAGTAAGAGAGCTTTAGCTACAGTGCTGTACTATGCAGTATAAGGAATTTAAGAGTCAAGCTGCAATACGCAGAAAACGAAACTAAGATCGTGAACCCGCAAGAAATCTTCACGATCACCAATTCGTATATATATATATATTGTACATGAGAAAAATTCGCCGATGGAAAAGACAAAACGCGAGACGTTAGGATTGAAAGCTTCTTTTCTTGATCTCTTTATTAATTCCACGATTTAATCTTGAAAATTTGCATCATGTTAAAGTGGTGAATCGTATAGTTTTCTAACAATGGTCTCAACTGAATAATAAGTTTGAATTGGCGAGAGGACAAAGCAATAAAGTTCAATGATAAACAACACTTAAAAACGTGAGGGAGACGGAAAGTCAAAGTGCTTGATACCGAATTTATT